AATGACAGACCTGCATCTCCCTGCCACACAGACACATAGCAATGACAGACCTGCATCTCTTTAGCACACAGACACATAGCAATGACAGACCTGCATCTCCCTGCCACAGACACATAGCAATGACAGACCTGCATCTCCCTGCCACAGACACACATAGCAATGACAGACCTGCATCTCCCTGACACACACACACACACACATAGCAATGACAGACCTGCATCTCCCTGCCACACAGACACATAGCAATGACAGATCTGCATCTCTTTAGCACACAGACACATAGCAATGACAGACCTACATCTCCCTGCCACACAGACACATAGCAATGCTAGACCTGCATCTCTTTAGCACACAGACACATAGCAATGACAGACCTGCATCTCCCTGCCACAGACACATAGCAATGACAGACCTGCATCTCCCTGCCACAGACACATAGCAATGACAGACCTGCATCTCCCTGACACAGACACATAGCAATGACAGACCTACATCTCCCTGCCACACAGACATATAGCAATGACAGACCTGCATCTCCCTGACACACAGACACATAGCAATGACAGACCTGCATCTCTTTAGCACACAGACACATAGCAATGACAGACCTGCATCTCTTTAGCACACAGACACATAGCAATGACAGACCTACATCTCCCTGCCACACAGACACATAGCAATGACAGACCTGCATCTCCCTGCCACACAGACACATAGCAATGACAGACCTGCATCTCCCTGACATATATAGCAATGACAGACCTGCATCTCTTTTGCACACAGACACATAGCAATGACAGACCTGCATCTCCCTGACATATATAGCAATGGCAGACCTGCATCTCTTTAGCACACAGACACATAGCAATGACAGACCTACATCTCCCTGCCACACAGACACATAGCAATGACAGACCTGCATCTCTTTTGCACACAGACACATAGCAATGACAGACCTGCATTTCTTTAGCACACAGACACATAGCAATAGCAGACCTGCATCTCCCTGCCACAGACACATAGCAATGACAGACCTGTATCTCTTTAGCACACAGGCACATAGCAATGACAGACCTGCATCTCCCTGACATATATAGCAATGGCAGACCTGCATCCTTTAGCACACAGACATATAGCAACGACAGAGCTGCTTCTCCCAGCCACACAGACACAGGGGGCACGGGTGGCCCAGTCGTCTAAGGCGCCGCGATTTGCTGTGCAGAGATGCATCCCTTGGGCATGCCAGAAACCTATGATTTTGGGTTTGAATCCCGGTTCCCCCCGGATTATGTTTCTAGGTTTGTCAGCACCATACCCATGCTCATGGGTTTCACCGAAGCAGTAAACGTCTGAGACCTGCATCACTTCGGGCTTTCCTCACATATTAAGCCGACATGCTGCTATATGACTGGAATACTGTTAAAAGTGGTGTTAAAACCAACTCACTCACTCACACAGACACAAAGCAACGACAGACCTGCATCTCCCTGACACACACACACATAGCAATGACAGACCTGCATCTCCCTGACACACACACAGACACATAGCAATGACAGACCTGCATCTCCCTGCCACACAGACACATAGCAATGACAGACCTGCATCTCTTTAGCACACAGACACATAGCAATGACAGACCTACATCTCCCTGCCACACAGACACATAGCAATGCTAGACCTGCATCTCTTTAGCACACAGACACATAGCAATGACAGACCTGCATCTCCCTGCCACACAGACACATAGCAATGACAGACCTGCATCTCCCTGCCACAGACACATAGCAATGACAGACCTGCATCTCCCTGACACAGACACATAGCAATGACAGACCTGCATCTCCCTGCCACACAGACATATAGCAATGACAGACCAGCATCTCCCTGCCACACAGACACATAGCAATGACAGACCTGCATCTCTTTAGCACACAGACACATAGCAATGACAGACCTGCATCTCCCTGCCACACAGACACATAGCAATGACAGACCTGCATCTCCCTGCCAGACACATAGCAATGACAGACCTGCATCTCCCTGCCACACAGACACATAGCAATGACAGACCTGCATCTCTTTAGCACACAGACACATAGCAATGACAGACCTACATCTCCCTGCCACACAGACACATAGCAATGACAGACCTGCATCTCCCTGACGCACAGACACATAGCAATGACAGACCTGCATCTCTTTAGCACACAGACACATAGCAATGACAGACCTGAATCTCCCTGCCACACAGACACATAGCAATGACAGACCTGCATCTCCCTGACATATATAGCAATGACAGACCTGCATCTCTTTTGCACACAGACACATAGCAATGACAGACCTGCATCTCCCTGACATATATAGCAATGGCAGACCTGCATCTCTTTAGCACACAGACACATAGCAATGACAGACCTACATCTCCCTGCCACACAGACACATAGCAATGACAGACCTGTCTCTCTTTTGCACACAGACACATAGCAATGACAGACCAGCATTTCTTTAGCACACAGACACATAGCAATAGCAGACCTGCATCTCCCTGCCACAGACACATAGCAATGACAGACCTGTATCTCTTTAGCACACAGGCACATAGCAATGACAGACCTGCATCTCCCTGACATATATAGCAATGGCAGACCTGCATCCTTTAGCACACAGACATATAGCAACGACAGAGCTGCTTCTCCCAGCCACACAGACACAGGGGGCACGGGTGGCCCAGTCGTCTAAGGCGCCGCGATTTGCTGTGCAGAGATGCATCCCTTGGGCATGCCAGAAACCTATGATTTTGGGTTTGAATCCCGGTTCGCCCGGATTATGTTTCTAGGTTTGTCAGCACCATACCCATGCTCGTGGGTTTCACCGAAGCAGTAAACGTCTGAGACCTGCATCACTTCGGGCTTTCCTCACATATTAAGCCGACATGCTGCTATATGACTGGAATACTGTTAAAAGTGGTGTTAAAACCAACTCACTCACTCACACAGACACAAAGCAACGACAGACCTGCATCTCCCTGACACACACACACATAGCAATGACAGACCTGCATCTCCCTGCCACACAGACATATAGCAATGACAGACCAGCATCTCCCTGCCACACAGACACATAGCAATGACAGACCTGCATCTCTTTAGCACACAGACACATAGCAATGACAGACCTGCATCTCCCTGCCACAGACACATAGCAATGACAGACCTGCATCTCCCTGCCACACAGACACATAGCAATGACAGACCTGCATCTCCCTGCCACACAGACACATAGCAATGACAGACCTGCATCTCCCTGCCACACAGACACATAGCAATGACAGACCTGCATCTCCCTGCCACACAGACACATAGCAATGACAGAACTGCATCTCCCTGCCACACAGACAAAAAGCAATGATAGACCTGCATCTCCCTGCCACACAGACACATAGCAATGACAGACCTGCATCTCCCTGCCACACAGACACATAGCAATGACAGACCTGCATCTCCCTGCCACACAGACACATAGCAATGACAGACCTGCATCTCCCTGCCACACAGACAAAAAGCAATGATAGATATGCATCTCCCTGCCACACAGACACATAGCAATGACAGACCTGCATCTCCCTGCCACACAGACACATAGCAATGACAGACCTGCATCTCCCTGCCACACAGACACATAGCAATGACAGACCTGCATCTCCCTGCCACACAGACAAAAAGCAATGACAGACCTGCATCTCCCTGCCACACAGACAAAAAGCAATGATAGACCTGCATCTCCCTGCCACACAGACACATAGCAATGACAGACCTGCATCTCCCTGCCACACAGACACATAGCAATGACAGACCTGCATCTCCCTGCCACACAGACAAAAAGCAATGACAGACCTGCATCTCCCTGCCACACAGACAAAAAGCAATGATAGATATGCATCTCCCTGCCACACAGACAAAAAGCAATGATAGATATGCATCTCCCTGCCACACAGACAAAAAGCAATGATAGACCTGCATCTCCCTGCCACACAGACACATAGCAATGACAGACCTGCATCTCCCTGCCACACAGACAAAAAGCAATGACAGACCTGCATCTCCCTGCCACACAGACAAAAAGCAATGATAGATATGCATCTCCCTGCCACACAGACAAAAAGCAATGACAGACCTGCATCTCCCTGCCACACAGACAAAAAGCAATGATAGATATGCATCTCCCTGCCACACAGACAAAAAGCAATGACAGACCTGCATCTCCCTGCCACACAGACAAAAAGCAATGATAGATATGCATCTCCCTGATCAGGGCTCGAAAAATGTCTTACACTCATCTTGTCCAGCAGGGCAAGAAGATAATATTTTGTACTCGACTTGCAATATTTTAACTTGCCCTGTTAAATTGCATGAAGTTTTATGTTCATAGTTATTATTTACGGCCATCCCCGCCATATACATTCATCTCCGCCCATTCAAACCTGCTCAATCATGCGTCTTGCACAGTTCTTTTTCTAGCTTCAATTCCTGCTGTGCAAACGCACTTCCTGTTTATTTCGGACAGTTGTCAAGTATATCGTCTATTTATGATATGAGCAACATGTATTTCATTGTTATTACTTAGATTGTGCGAGAAATGAAAATGTATTTTAGGTTTCGAAATAATTCATATCTTATTGAAAACAATAAGAGATGAATTGATAGGATTGAAACATATGTACTCGTCGAGTCGGACAAGCATTTATTCAATTCTTTCTCACCCTGCACATGCTGCCACTTGTCAATACATGCGGACGAGTGGATTTTTCGTACCCTGCTGACACTCAAACACATAGCCATGACAAGACTTGCATCTCCCCCTCTCTTACACACAGACACAGAGCAATGGTGATGTGACAAGAAATGCTGTGTCATTCTGATAACAGAGAGATTAAATATCTGATGTAAAAAAGAGGTTTTTCATTGTTTGCCTGTGTAGATACTACTGATACCTACAGCAGACGGGTCTTGTGTTGATGTTTGTCTATGGCTGCTGCGAGAGCTGAATCAGCTGCTGTATGCTTGTGCTGCAGCTGCTGGGCACCATCCACCATCCCAGCTTTGGTGAGGAACAGCTGTTGTTCTCCAGATTCACAACCTGCTGCACAACAGTATCACAACCAATCAGGACACAACCAATAAACATGTTACACAGCAGTAACACAACCAATACACATGCCACACAACAGTAACAAAACCAATACACACAAAACACAACCAATACGCATGCCACACAACAGTAACACATCCAATACACACGAAACACAACAGTTACACAACCAATACACACGAAACACAACAGTAACACAACCAATACACATGCCACACAGCAGTAACAACCAATACACATGCCACACAACAATAACACAACCAATACACATGTCACACAACAGTAACACAACCAATACACACGAAACACAACAGTAACACAAACAATACACGTGCCACTCAACAATAACACAACCAATACACATGCCATACAGCAGTAACAACCAATACACATGCCACACAACAATAACACAACCAATACACATGTCACACAACAGTAACACAACCATACACACGAAACACAACAGTAACACAAACAATACACACGAAACACAACAGTAACACAACCAATACACATGCCATACAGCAGTAGCACAACCAATACACATGCCACACAATAATAACACAACCAATACACTTGCCACACAGCAGTAACACATACAATAAACATGTTACACAGCAGTTACACAAACAATAAACATGCCACACAACAGTTACACAACCAATACACACAAAATACAACAATAACACAACCAATACACATTTTACACAACCAATACACATGTCACACAAACAATACACATGCCACACAACAGTAACACAACCATTACACACAAAAAACAACCAATACGCATGCCACACAACAGTAACACATCCAATTCACATGTCACACAACAGTAACACAACCAATACACATGCCACACAACAGTAACACAACCAATACACATGTTACACAGCAGTTACAACCAATACACATGCCACACAACAGTAACACAACCAATACACATGCAACACAACAGTAACACAACCAATACACATGCCACACCACCAATACACATGCCACACAACAGTTACAACTAATACACATGCCACACAACCAATACACATGCTACACAACAGTAACAACCAATACACATGCCACACAACAGTAACACAGCCAATACATATGCCACATAACAGTAACAACCAATACACTTGCTGCATAACAGTAACACAACCTATACACATGCCACACAACAGTAACATAACCAATACACATGTAACAGAACCAATACACATGAAACACAACAGTAACACAACCAATACACATGTTACCCCGCAGTAACACAACCAATACACATGTAACACAACAACAAATGTCACACAGTCCATCAGTACACAACCAATACACAACCAGTACACAGCTAGTACACAGCCAAAAAAACCACAGTACACCATCAATACTCATGCTGGGTGGGGGATATGTCACAAGACCATCAGTACACAACCAATATACATGCTGGATGGGGAACATGTCACACAGTCCATCAGTACATAACCAATACACATACTGGATGAGGGATATGTCACACAGTCCATCAGTACACATCCAATACACATGCAATACACATGCTGGGTGTGGGATATGTCACACAGTCCATCAGTACACAACCAATACACATACTGGGTGCGGAATATGTCGCACAGTCCATCAGTACACAAGCAATACACAACCAATACAAATGCTGGGTGTGGGATATGTCACACAGTCCATCAGTACACAAGCAATACACAACTATTACACAACCAATACACATGTTGGGTGGTGGACATGTCACACATTCAATGAATACACAACTAATACACATGCTTTAAGAATTCACAAAATTGACTTTCATCATGTCTTTGAATCATTTTACTATTGTCACACTAAGCTCCATGAAATGTGTATTTCACACCAGGATCCCCTGCGTCATTACAATATACAGAGTCCTGGTGCCATGGGGTCAGCACTCATGCCTATATCACCCTCCCCTTAGTATAGGACTTACTCAGCATCTGGTGCAGTCTGGTGGTGGCCTTGTCACGGGAGTCTATGGTACCGCGCTGATGCCTGGCCGGGGTAATACACGGATCCTCCATGGCTTTCTACAAAATGTATTTACTTACTAACACGAGTCGAACAAGAAACAAATAAGACACTGGAGGTCCATAATTTCTCCAACAAAACCAACAAGTGTTACCTGAGCACATTCAACTTCATAAACTCATAAAAAAAGAGAGAAAATCCATTAAACATTTTACAAAATGAAACTTACAGTAACAAACAGAAAGGCATTGTGTAATCAAAGTAAGCATCCAAGTCACTGGTGGGTTGGTTACCTGTCTCTCCATCCTGTCAGGTTCTAGTCATTGATGGGTTACCTGTCTGTCCCACCTGTCAGATCCTAATCACTAGAGGGTTACCTGTCTGTCCCTCCTGTCAGGTCCTTGTCATTGGTGGATTACCTTTCTCTCCCTCCTATCAGGTCCTTGTCACTAGAGGCTTACCTTTCTCTCCCTCCTGTCAGGTCCTTGTCACTAGAGGCTTACCTTTCTCTCCCTCCTGTCAGGTCCTTGTCACTGGTGGATTACCTGTCTCTCCCTCCTGTCAGGTCCTTGTCACTGGTGGATTACCTGTCTCTCCCTCCAGTCAGTCAGGTTCTGCTCGAGTGTCCTTCTGACCGCTGTCAGCAGGCGGTGAATGTCACGGTGATTCCTGGATTCTATCTCATAGGCCATTGTCAGGAACTCATTGCGGGCTCGCTGCACCACCAGCTGATCAATCAACTACAACATCAACACAACATTGCTCTTAGAGGATCACACCATTATCAGTGTTTTATAGAGACTGCAGGATTGCAGGTATTTCACAATTATTTCACCAATGACCTCCCAGAAATAATGTTATGTGTGCTAGTGGGTCTATTTCAGGGAGACGATGAACTGTACCATTCTTGGAAAACCATTAATAGTCACCATCAATTTCAGTGATTACAAACATTTCTGGTCACTCCAGTCACAAACAGAAATGTCAGAGTACCAGCAGATCACCACCATGATAAACAACATCATCCTGATCATGACAATAATGGGCAGACAATATGTAACACACTGTACTGGTGTTTGCACCATCTATCTTCTTTTGTGGAAATTGATTGAAAATTATTTCTCATCCTGACACAACACACTGCAATGTTTATCCCACAGATGGCAGCAGGGTCCTCAGCTTGAGGTATTGGTAACCAGCTTCAGATTACATCTGGATTAGACTGTGCGAGCACCCTCTTCACTAAATCTGTATCACCTGTCCCATCCTTAGTCTAACATGTCAAGTATACCTGTGTGACTTCTGATACATGACAAGTTGTAGCACATAACAACCATAGCCCAACAATTCCTCAGAATCTATATTGTGACAGGCTGAGTCCCTCAGAATCTATATTGTGACAGGATGAGACACTCAGAATCTATATTGTGACAGGATGAGTCACTCAGAATCTATATTGTGACAGGATGAGACACTCAGAATCTATATTGCGACAGGATGAATCACTCAGAATCTATGTTGTGACAGGATGAGACACTCAGAATCTATATTGTGACAGCATGAGTCACTCAGAATCTATATTGTGACAGCATGAGTCACTCAGAATCTATATTGTGACAGCATGAGTCACTCAGAATCTATATTGTGACAGCATGAGTCCCTCAGAATCTATATTGAGACAGGATGAGTCCCTTAGAATCTATATTGTGACAGGATGAGACACTCAGAATCTATATTGTGACAGGATGAGTCACTCAGAATCTATATTGTGACAGGATGAGACATTCAGAATCTATATTGCGACAGGATGAGTCACTCAGAATCTATATTGTGACAGCATGAGTCACTCAGAATCTATATTGTGACAGCATGAGACACTCAGAATCTATATTGTGACAGGATGAGTCATTCAGAATCTATATTGTGACAGCATGAGTCACTCAGAACGTATATTGTGACAGGATGAGACACTCAGAATCTATATTGTGACAGGATGAGACACTCAGAATCTATATTGTGACAGCATGAGTCACTCAGAATCTATATTGTGACAGGATGAGTCACTCAGAATCTATATTGTGACAGCATGAGACACTCAGAATCTATATTGCGACAGCATGAGTCACTCAGAATCTATATTGTGACAGGATGAGTCACTCAGAATCTATATTGTGACAGCATGAGACACTCAGAATCTATATTGTGACAGGATGAGACACTCAGAACCTATATTGTGACAGGATGAGACACTCAGAATCTATATTGTGACAGCATGAGACACTCAGAATCTATGTTGTGACAGGATGAGACACTCAGAATCTATATTGTGACAGGATGCGTCACTCAGAATCTATATTGTGACAGCATGAGTCACTCAGAATCTATATTGTGACAGCATGAGTCACTCAGAATCTATATTGTGACAGCATGAGTCACTCAGAATCTATATTGTGACAGCATGAGTCACTCAGAATCTATATTGTGACAGGATGCGTCACTCAGAATCTATATTGTGACAGCATGAGTCACTCAGAATCTATATTGAGACAGGATGAGTCCCTTAGAATCTATATTGTGACAGGATGAGACACTCAGAATCTATATTGTGACAGGATGAGTCACTCAGAATCTATATTGTGACAGGATGAGACATTCAGAATCTATATTGCGACAGGATGAGTCACTCAGAATCTATATTGTGACAGCATGAGTCACTCAGAATCTATATTGTGACAGCATGAGACACTCAGAATCTATATTGTGACAGGATGAGTCATTCAGAATCTATATTGTGACAGCATGAGTCACTCAGAACCTATATTGTGACAGGATGAGACACTCAGAATCTATATTGTGACAGGATGAGACACTCAGAATCTATATTGTGACAGCATGAGTCACTCAGAATCTATATTGTGACAGGATGAGTCACTCAGAATCTATATTGTGACAGCATGAGACACTCAGAATCTATATTGCGACAGCATGAGTCACTCAGAATCTATATTGTGACAGGATGAGTCACTCAGAATCTATATTGTGACAGCATGAGACACTCAGAATCTATATTGTGACAGGATGAGACACTCAGAACCTATATTGTGACAGGATGAGACACTCAGAATCTATATTGTGACAGCATGAGACACTCAGAATCTATGTTGTGACAGGATGAGACACTCAGAATCTATATTGTGACAGGATGCGTCACTCAGAATCTATATTGTGACAGCATGAGTCACTCAGAATCTATATTGTGACAGCATGAGTCACTCAGAATCTATATTGTGACAGCATGAGTCACTCAGAATCTATATTGTGACAGCATGAGTCACTCAGAATCTATATTGTGACAGGATGCGTCACTCAGAATCTATATTGTGACAGCATGAGTCACTCAGAATCTATATTGTGACAGCATGAGTCACTCAGAATCTATATTGTGACAGCATGAGTCACTCAGAATCTATATTGTGACAGCATGAGTCACTCAGAATCTATAATGTGACAGGATGAGACACTCAGAATCTATATTGTGACAGGATGAGACACTCAGAATCTATATATTGTGACAGGATGAGTCACAAGTTGATCTGGCAAAGAGGATCAGAACTTCAACATGAAGTGAAAAGCAACAAAAACTCAACAATCCCTCAGAATATATATTGTGACACCATGAAACACCAGGGAAATATCTGGCAAACTCTCAGTGGAGGCTTGTTATGATCCGAATACTTGAGTGAAAAACCCAGTTGGGAAAACACATGGCCAAAGCAGTATAACTTTGAAACAGAGAGTGAGTGAGTTGGTTTAATGCCACTTTTAACAGTATTCCAGTTATATCATGGCATGTCAGCTTGATGTGGGAGGAAAGCCCGAAGTGATGCAGGTCTTAGACGTTTACCACTTCTGTGAAACCCATGAGCACGAGTATGGTGCTGACAAAACTAGAAACATAATCGGGGCGAACTGGGATTCGAACCCACAATCATAGGTTTCTGGCGTGCCCAAGGGACGCAACTCTGCACAGCGAATCGCGGCGCCTTAGACGACTGGGCCACCCGTGCCCCCTTGAAACAGAGAAGTCTATGCCTGTGGCTTCAGTAATAATAAATAATAAAGTCATAAACACTTATGGTACAAAAAATTCTACACATACTTTTGGGGATGTCGACTTCGCACTGGGTGACCTTTACTTTCAATCATGTGTAAAATGGTGAAGGAGAACAGGATAAGAAATAACTGTCAGTGCAATTTCAAGGCATGTCAGAAGCTGACACATGAGCACATGTGAGCCACCGTGTCCCACCTGGTCCTGGTTGGATGTGAAGTAGCCCTGTCTGGCAAGTTTCAGTTTGTAGTCGCCCGTGATGATATTGGTGCCCTGGAGGTCGGCCGACCTGCTGATCAGGGCAGGGATGTCTGTCTGCTGCAATTGGGTCAGGTCTCTTCTCACTGCATTCAGAGACATATGGCTTTCCTGAAGGGAGTCCCTGAAATACATCAACAGTGTATACTGACACAATCATGACTTCCTGAACCATGTACACACAGTACCCTGACACAATCAGGACTTCCTGAACCATGCACACACAGTACACTGACACAATCAGACTTCCTGAACCATGTACACACTGTATGCTGACACAATCAGAACTTCCTGAACCATATACACACAGTACACTGACACAATCATGACTTCCTGAACCATATACACACAGTATACTGACACAATCATGACTTCCTGAACCATGTTCACACAGTACACTGACACAATCATGACTTCCTGAACCATATACACACTGTACACTGACACAATCAGGACTTCCTGAACCATGTACACACTGTACACTGACACAATCAGGACTTCCTGAACCATGTACACACTGTACACTGACACAATCAGGACTTCCTGAACCATGTACACACTGTATGCTGACACAATCAGAACTTCCTGAACCATATACACACAGTACACTGACACAATCATGACTTCCTGAACCATATACACACAGTATACTGACACAATCATGACTTCCTGAACCATGTTCACACAGTACACTGACACAATCATGACTTCCTGAACCATATACACACTGTACACTGACACAATCAGGACTTCCTGAACCATGTACACACTGTACACTGACACAATCAGAACTTCCTGAACCATGTACACACTGTACACTGACACAATCAGGACTTCCTGAACCATGTACACACTGTACACTGACACAATCAGGACTTCCTGAACCATGTACACACTGTATGCTGACACAATCAGGACTTCCTGAACCATGTTCACACAGTATACTGACACAATCATGACTTCCTGAACCATGTACACACAGTACACTGACACAATCAGGACTTCCTGAACCATGTACACACTGTATACTGACACAATCAGGACTTCCTGAACCATGTACACACTGTATACTGACACAATCAGGACTTCCTGAACCATATACACACTGTATACTGACACAATCAGGACTTCCTGAACCATGTACACACAGTACACTGACACAATCAGGACTTCCTGAACCATGTACACACCGTATACTGACACAATCAGGACTTCCTGAACCATATACACACTGTATACTGACACAATCAGGACTTCCTGAACCATGTACACACAGTACACTGACACAATCAGGACTTCCTGAACCATGTACACACCGTACACTGACAAAATCATGACTTCCTGAACCATGTTCACACAGTACACTGACACAATCAGGACTTCCTGAACCATGTTCACACAGTACACTGACACAATCAGGACTTCCTGAACCATGTACACACTGTATACTGACACAATCAGGACTTCCTGAACCATGAACACACAGTACACTGACACAATCATGACTTCCTGAACCATGTACACACTGTATACTGACACAATCATGACTTCCTGAACCATGTACACACTGAATACTGACACAATCATGACTTCCTGAACCATGTTCACACAGTACACTGACACAATCAGGACTTCCTGAACCATGTACACACTGTATACTGACACAATCATGACTTCCTGAACCATGTACACACTGTATACTGACACAATCATGACTTCCTGAACCATGTTCACACAGTACACTGACACAATCATGACTTCCTGAACCATGTACACACAGTACACTGACACAATCATGACTTCCTGAACCATGTACACACTGTATACTGACACAATCAGGACTTCCTGAACCATGTACACACTGTACACTAACACAATCAGGACTTCCTGAACCATATACACACTGTATACTGACACAATCAGGACTTCCTGAACCATGTACACACTGTATACTGACACAATCATGACTTCCTGAACCATGTACACACTGTATACTGACACAATCAGGACTTCCTGAACCATGTACACACTGTATACTGACACAATCATGACTTCCTGAACCATGTACACACTGTATACTGACACAATCAGGACTTCCTGAACCATGTACACACTGTATACTGACACAATCAGGACTTCCTGAACCATGTACACACTGTATACTGACACAATCATGACTTCCTGAACCATGTACACACTGTATACTGACACAATCATGACTTCCTGAACCATGTACACACTGTATACTGACACAATCATGACTTCCTGAACCATGTACACACTGTATACTGACACAATCATGACTTCCTGAACCATGTACACACTGTATACTGACACAATCACGACTTCCTGAACCATGTTCACACAGTACACTGACACAATCATGACTTCCTCAACCATGTACACACAGTACACTGACACAATCATGACTTCCTGAACCATGTACACACTGTATACTGACACAATCATGACTTCCTGAACCATGTACACACTGTATACTGACACAATCATGACTTCCTGAACCATGTTCACACAGTACACTGACACAATCATGACTTCCTGAACCATGTACACACAGTACACTGACACAATCATGACTTCCTGAACCATGTACACACTGTATACTGACACAATCATGACTTCCTGAACCATGTAGACACAGTACACTCACACAATCATGACTTCCTGAACCATGTACACACAGTATACTGACACAATAATGACTTCCTGAACCATGTACACACAGTACACTGACACAATCAGGACTTCCTGAACCATATACACACAGTACACTGACACAATCAGGACTTCCTGAACCATGTACACACTGTATACTGACACAATCAGGACTTCCTGAACCATGTACACACTGTATACTGACACAATCAGGACTTCCTTAACCATATACACACTGTATACTGACACAATCAGGACTTCCTTAACCATATACACACTGTATACTGACACAATCAGGACTTCCTGAACCATGTACACACAGTATACTGACACAATCAGGACTTCCTGAACCATATACACACTGTATACTGACACAATCAGGACTTCCTGAACCATGTACACACTGTATGCTGACAAAATCAGGACTTCCTGAACCATGTTCACACAGTACACTGACACAATCAGGACTTCCTGAACCATGTTCACACAGTACACTGACACAATCAGGACTTCCTGAACCATATACACACAGTACACTGACACAATCAGGACTTCCTGAACCATGTTCACACAGTACACTGACACAATCAGGACTTCCTGAACCATGTACACACTGTATACTGACACAATCAGGACTTCCTGAACCATGAACACACAGTACACTGACACAATCATGACTTCCTGAACCATGTACACACTGTATACTGACACAATCATGACTTCCTGAACCATGTACACACTGTATACTGACACAATCATGACTTCCTGAACCATGTTCACACAGTACACTGACACAATCAGGACTTCCTGAACCATGTACACACTGTACACTGACACAATCAGGATTTCCTGAACCATGTACACACTGTATACTGACACAATCAGGACTTCCTGAACCATGTACACACAGTATACTGACACAATCAGGACTTCCTGAACCATGTACACACTGTATACTGACACAATCAGGACTTCCTGAACCATGTACACACTGTATACTGACACAATCATGACTTCCTGAACCATGTTCACACAGTACACTGACACAATCATGACTTCCTGAACCATGTACACACTGTATACTGACACAATCATGACTTCCTGAACCATGTACACACAGTACACTGACACAATCATGACTTCCTGAACCATGTTCACACAGTACACTGACACAATAATGACTTCCTGAACCATGTACACACAGTACACTGACACAATCAGGACTTCCTGAACCATATACACACAGTACACTGACACAATCAGGACTTCCTGAACCATGTACACACTGTATACTGACACAATCAGGACTTCCTGAACCATGTACACACTGTATACTGACACAATCAGGACTTCCTTAACCATATACACACTTTATACTGACACAATCAGGACTTCCTTAACCATATACACACTGTATACTGACACAATCAGGACTTCCTGAACCATGTACACACTGTACACTAACACAATCAGGACTTCCTGAACCATATACACACTGTATACTGACACAATCAGGACTTCCTGAACCATGTACACACTGTATACTGACACAATCAGGACTTCCTTAACCATATACACACTGTATACTGACACAATCAGGACTTCCTTAACCATATACACACTGTATACTGACACAATCAGGACTTCCTTAACCATATACACACTGTATACTGACACAATCAGGACTTCCTGAACCATGTACACACAGTATACTGACACAATCAGGACTTCCTGAACCATGTACACACTGTACACTAACACAATCAGGACTTCCTGAACCATATACAGACCGTATACTGACACAATCAGGACTTCCTGAACCATATACACACCGTATACTGACACAATCAGGACTTCCTGAACCATGTACACACTGTATGCTGACACAATCAGGACTTCCTGAACCATGTACACACTGTATACTGACACAATCAGGACTTCCTGAACCATGTACACACTGTATACTGACACAATCAGGACTTCCTGAACCATGTACACACTGTATGCTGACACAATCAGGACTTCCTGAATCATGTACACACTGTATACTGACACAATCAGGACTTCCTGAACCATGTACACACAGTACACTGACACAATCATGACTTCCTGAACCATGTACACACTGTACACTAACCCAATCAGGACTTCCTGAACCATATACACACTGTATACTGACACAATCAGGACTTCCTGAACCATGTACACACTGTATGCTGACACAATCAGGACTTCCTGAACCATGTACACACTGTATACTGACACAATCAGGACTTCCTGAACCATGTACACACTGTATACTGACACAATCAGGACTTCCTGAACCATGTACACACTGTATACTGACACAATCATGACTTCCTGAACCATGTACACACTGTATACTGACACAATCATGACTTCCTGAACCATGTACACACTGTATACTGACACAATCATGACTTCCTG